CTTTATTTTAGTTTATGGTGATAGACATGGTTCTAGTTTTAGTCTTCAGCATGTGAAAAGCTCATTTTACCTGCACCACTTATTAAAGAGGCTATCATTCTTCCAAGGAATATATTCTGTCCGTTTGTCAAAGATAAGGTGATTAACTGTGTTTGTAGTTGTGTTTGAATCTTTTAATCTGTTCCATTGCTTCTCAGGTCTGCTGTTTACTCATACCATGCTGATTTTATCACAGAAGCATTACAATACAGTTTCAAGTCAGGGATTGTGATGTCTCATGCCTTGCCTTTGTTGTTCGTGATTGTCTTTGATATTCCAGGTATCTTTGTTTCTAAATGAATTTTTGAATTGCTTTCTGTAAATTTATGAGAAATGCAAATGGATATTCACTGGGATTGTGTGAAATCTGTATAAGAGCTTTGGGAGTATGGTCTTTTTCACAATGTTGGTCTTTCCTATCCATGAACATGGGATATTTTTCCATTGTCTGATAACTTCTGCAGTTGGGTTTTTCACAGTTCTGTAATTTTCAATGTTTAGATGTTTTATTCCCTTTGTTAGAGTGATTTCTAGGTATTCAATTTTTTTTTTTTTTGGATGCTGTTTTGAGAGGTGTGTTTTCTGTAATTTCTCTCTCGGGAGTTTGTTGCTTTTGTAAAGCAATGCTATTGATTTTGTAGTGTTGCCTTTGAATCCAGCTATGCTACCTAACTTATTTATTAATTCTAGGAATATTTTGGTAGTGTTCTTGGAATCTTCACATTTTCTCCTTTCTGTGAGATATTTGCATTGCATTTATTTTTCCATATCTCCACTTTCTGCCTATGTGGATTGTCACAAAGCAAGGCATACTATAACATGGATATTTTAGCAAAGTTGTAGAAAGTGGGTAAGATTATATACAAGGGACTTATTTGTATTTTGATGGAGACATCCACCTTATATCTAGATCTGTCAGGAAAATTTCTTCAGTTGCAAAGAGTTCTTCCTTATTCTCATGCATAGTGACTACTGCTGAGTTGTAAGAGAGGATCATACATAAACATATGTGCACACACATTAAAGTGTGAAGGGAAGCCTTGTAGCAAACATGGCAGAGACATAGAGCTCACAGGCTGCCAGGAAGATTTAGAAATGCTCTCATGTGGAATGTGATGACAAAGACAGATAGGTGTTTTGAGTCTATCTAACTTCTTAGGTACTATGCAGCTGAACTAAAATACATATGATTGAATAGAACTCAAAAAAGTATGTGAAACATCTGTGCTCAGTCTTATAAGTGCATAGAATTAAGTAGTTTGTTTCCTAATTTAAATGCTACAAACTTGTGTGCAAATATAAACATCATTTCCTCCACATTTGCCTTTTATATTGAATGAGTTTCTATCAAAATATCATTATTTAAGGCCTACTTTCTACTAATCCTCTCTTTGTATATTTAACCTCTACTCTCCTGGGTATTTTCGGTATCCTACATAATGACTTCTTGTCATTTAAAGTACTACACATGTTTATAATTCAGCAATATCTAATATAATATTTAACATTTTTTATTCTGGTCTATGTCTATTTATAGTAATCCAAACACAAGCAGCAATATGACTTCAGAAAATTGTTTCTGCCTCAGATTCATTATCTATAAAATGTGTCTTGAAAAATATCTTCTTTCTATAATGTTGTGAGAAATTACTGGAGCTAACATTTTTCCATTAAGCAATCTTGTGTAGTTTTATATATCTTATAAGCCAGGATCAGTAAGACAAGCCTTCATAGCACATGTAAAACTTTGTGGGTACTGTGTTCATAATATGCAGGTCAATAGTAATTTATTTCATGTACTTCACTGCTGAATTCTAATGGACCATATTCAAAAGTTTTTATCTACCTTTGTTTGTTTTCTGTGTCTTGCTTTTAGATATGGAACTCTGTCTATCTAGCAATGAATGTTAATTTCATTTGTCATTCTGATACTAATCATCAGGTGATCTTCTCTGCCCACATGGTAATTAAGGAAAGAAGTCAGTGACAAGAAAGGTGTATGAGAGCTTTGCATCTGATCATTAACCTTTGATTATTTGACACTTAGGTAGGAAAAATAAACAAGATAAACATAGCATTTAATTTTGAGTGGGAGTTATAGAGAGAGAGAAAGACTGCTACAGGTAAGATGAAATGGTATCTGAAAGCAGAAAGATCAGACAATGGTGAGAAAAGTGCCACAAAGCATAGAAATTGGTTTAAAAATAAAGAGCAGCAGTGCACATTTTTTTGCTGCTGGGGCAGGAGGAGTCCATACAGCAGTATGAAGAGTGGTTGCCCAGGTGAACCAGGCTAGCTAGAGTTGCATCATGCAGAAGTCTTCTCCAGCTAATGATACTGAGATAGGTTTTGTAACTGAAAGCATTAGAGCTAGGGATATATGTATTTTAAGGTTTGAAATATGACTCTAAGTTCTAGCTGTGCAAATGATTATATAGAAGTAAACCTAATATACACTTAACAAGTAGAGTTTGAAAATAGTGCAAAGGTCCACTTCAAATTTCATGATGAACTGGAAGGATAATTTTGAAGAAAATCTTAAAGTATATTAGGACTTTTATAACATATGAAATAAATGGGTATTATAAGTGGAAAGAAGACAGATTAAACAGGATTACTATTAGCCACTGAATTGAGATTACTGTGATTTGATGTTAGAATTGTAAGGAGAGGAAATAATGATGCTATGAATCCTGCCCGGTTGTGAATCTAGAAATTACATTCACACTACAAATGGATTGCAGGAAATCCAGTGCTCATGAAGTTTGCTGATTTTACCAGGTTCTCATTACCTAAAACCACCTCACTAAGATTTTGCTTACCCACCTATGCCTTCGGTATTGGAGGAGACATCGTGAAAGATATAGTGTATGATTCAAACTGTAGTCTGATATAGGTCAATGCTTTGAAAATTTGCTTGAGTATGAACCTAGCACTCTGGCTAATACTCAAAATGGGGACCTCAACAAATGTACTGTGATCTTTCCTTAGCCACATGAGTTTGTCCTTAGTGCAGTTCAGAGTGAGGCACTCTGGAGATGCAGTCCTTAAGAAAGAAATCACTCAAATCATGCACATCACAGTGATTGATTGGCACTAGAACTTATAAGTGTGCTGTTGAATTTTTCAGCTTTCTTGCTTCTAAATTTAATTAAGGGAAGCACTACTGTCTATTTCATGGCTGATTCAATGTGGTTGATGTAACACTGACATATATATGAAAATTATATCTGGATTAATCTTATTTAGATTAATTTTAATTCTCTCGTGTTCATTTACAAAGATCACTGACAAGTTATGAGAAATCATCAAGGCATTCACATGTGATCAAACAGAATTAGAGATGATGGATTTGGGATCATGCAGGCCGTTACAAATCCAAGTGGATAAGAAAATCTTCTGGAAGAGAGAGAAGAGACATAGTTTTCAAACCCAGCCATGGCTCATCCAATACTGGACTTCAGCCATTTGCTCCTAGCCAGAATCCTGGCCAGAACGCACATACAAATAGGAACTCTCAAACTATGGTAAAATTATAAAACTTAAAGCACATTTTGACTCACCTTATAAAGCATTTGAAACAGTACATAAACCCATTTTCAGTGTCCACAACAGTTTTATAGAGATTTATTTGCATTTTGAAGAATGTATACATTTTAAAAAAAATAAATGTTCTTGCCAAATAGTTAATTTTTAAACTAAGCACTTTACAATGTCATACAAATATGTATAAGAATTTCAAAAGTTTCTTCAAAGTAATGGTATATTTATCTCCTCAATTGTAGATCAAATACTAAAATTCAAATTGTAGGCAGTCATTTAACTTTGTAGGAACACAGCAAGTTCAACAGTATATTTGCTAAAGTAATGAAAAACATACAAATATGAGTATTTGCCATTGATTCTTGTTTTAAAGTGAGAAATAATCACATTCCTCATTTCCTACCACATACTCAGTAAAAATAGTAGGCTAATATATTGTTACACAGCAAATAAATGATTGAATTCATGCAAGACACATTGGAAAACCATAGCATAATCTCGTAATCTAAATTTTTATTCTGGGCAGAAAGTTAAAAATTTATTGCTAAAAACTGATTACACATTTTCTCTCTTGATATTCAAATATAATGTATTAACACTAAGGTGATCAATATTTTTCTAAGGGAAAAATTTCACAAAATTATATATACTTTGATATTTCTTTGTCTTGTTTCCATTAAATATATTTGGTTCAAATTTCAAATTTTGTAATTAGAAAACAATTCAATGTATTGATCTGTTTTTTGAAATGTAATGAGCCAAAATCAGTGCCTCACTGGACGGGGCACAAGAATGACAGAAACGCACATTTTGTCTATCTAAATGTGTGCAATAAAAATTATGGCGATAGATCGTTAATACTGCAATGCACTCATTGTGTAAATTCACAATCACATTCTTATAACAGTTGGCAAGCTAACGAGCTAATTTTTATAACACAAGAAAATCATTACTTTCTCTTAATAAACTGACTGGGATGGTGGTTTTTTGATTTTATGGCATATGGAGAAGTGGACATACGACCCTTGTGAGCTCCTCATTCATTAAGTTCCATGTACACTGGGAAGCTTCTCAAGATTCCAAATGTACTTAGCATATCAATCAAAGTTCAATTTTTAGTGATCCTATGAACAGAATTTATTTAGAATGAATAGCTCTCTGGTAAAGTCCCAGAGGAAAAGACAAATGAACACTCATCCTGTTGAAATCAAGACTTTCTGTCTTGTAAAGAGAACAACACAAACCACGTGAATATGAGTAACTTCTCAAAACATTGTTACCATTTGCCAAGCACATAGTCAACGTTCACAGAAACAAGACATGATATTTGAAAAAAACTGGAAGATGGGTTCTCCTTGAAATTCTGGGGCTGGAATTAATTATTGCCCAATTCAGCACTTTGCTGATCTTAGAAAGATCTATTCCCTCTTTGTGCTCTTTCCTGTCTTAATAAACTTATGGTAGGAAAATAAGCAACACTTTGTGACCAAAAATATAGCAGTTGCTACACAGGCTAGCAGGAACCCAATCACATCCAAAGAGTGGTACTGGAACCAGGAGAGGTCGTGGGCTGCAACCCGCAGGTGCTTGGCTCCTTTGTGGCGCATGACAAACTCGACCCAGAAGACTGCTCGGTCCAGGGGCTTCATTGGCTGGTCGTGGTGAATTCTTGATAACCTCATGGCATTCTCTTTATAACTGCATGAAAAAATGTAGAAAAAATACTAAATGTTTAACTTAATGTAATTATAAGACATTTGTTATTATAGGAGAAAAAGATAAAACACAGATTCTGACAACTTTTAATTAGTGCAATACCTTCGTTAAACTGCTTAGAACTTTTAGGGTTGAAAAGACGAATGTGTGGAAGAAATATACTCATAACACAATGTGTCAAATGTGCTCAAAGGAAAAGAAATAACATTGTATTGTACATATATGGCTTAATTGTCCTTTGAAAAGCTTGATATCATTTGAACTCTAGTATCTAGAACAGTTCTAAGACCACAATGGTGAATGATTCAGAATGATTCAGAATTATGGAATAACTTATTTAAAACACCCATATCATAGCAACTAACATCTGACTAGTTTGCTTTACAGAAAGAGCCAACTGAAAATAAATATTAATGAGTCATTTTTTACTGTTCTAATTGCTTCTTTCCACACATTTTTATATTTATAATAAAAAACCATATATCTCTAAGCCAGATATTCTCTGAATGAAAATGCTAGGTTAATTTACAAAAAGAAATATCCAAATACATTCACTCTCAGTTGATAAAAGGAACTAAAAATATCTTTCCAAATTTATACTCCCTAACAGTTAGAAATCCTGCTGCAATAATGATAAATTTCAGATCTCTATTTCTCGAATGACATTGGGAAAAACTTGTTGTTAAGAACAAGATATATTTTCACATCAAATTTCCTAATAATTTCAGTAAATTAATAGGTTTTACTTTTGTTTGTGACTTGAGTTAAAGACACCTCCTGGATTCATTGAGATAAGAGAATGTAAGTGGTTTGAGAAGAGATGTCCTGGTGTTGGCAGTACATTGTGAGGAGAGAGAGCGGGAAATAAGTTCTGAGTTTGCAAATGTTTGTGGAGCAATAGAACTAAAGCCAGGGAATACTTCATTATAGTTTTCCATGGGCATAGGGAAAAAAATAGCTGTCTTATTTCTCTACTGTACTGAAACAGAAGTCCAACAATAATATCACTTCATTATTCTTATGC